TTAGCCACACACCATAAAATATGAGCCATTTGCTCAACCTACCAGTCTGCGTAGGGTGTACTGCTTTCTATATTGAAGAACACATAGATGGTAGTGGTAGTTGGATGAGACAGCTTGGGAGTCAGTACCACAACAACAGTAACCATCTACTAGTACTAAACTAGCTAGGCTAACTTGATATTAGCATTCCAATGCTAGGGATTAGCAATCATTTTACTGTAACCGCAAATGGTAATAAATGTAATTGTGAATACTGAAACTTGTGTTTCTGCTCTGTTTCAGCTAGCATGTTCTCTTTCTTTTTCTGAATGTTTGTGAGGTCGTGCATAATTATTTACTGGTTTTGTTCTGGGGCTCTGTGGAAATACCAGAGATAGCTGGTGATGCTAACATTTCACCTTTGTCTTTAATCTGCCATTAGCAAAGCAAAAAAAAAAGAAGAGCAACAGTTATTTACTATGCCAACTTATTTAAAGCACACATGAAAGAGATTGAGAAAGAAAAGTGATTGAGTATTTCGATCTTTAAATATTCTTTCATTTTATGTTCATCTTTTCATTTCAAAGTCATCTCAGTTTGCAACGTTTTTCCTTCACCTCTTCCACAGGATTTAGTCAGCTTAATATAAAAATGAGTTAAACACATTATTGTAACATCATCTAAACTGAACATTTGCTACATCCTTTTTTAATTAAAACGTAAGTGGCGGCACATGTGTGCGCTATGTGTTAGTGCTGCTCCAATATAATAGTACAAGTTAATCCAATGTATTCAGTTTCAGTTACTTTAGAAAGGAAATAAAGTTAGAATATTAGGTTTACCATGCTAAATTTATTTAATTTCAGCATTTAAATTTTTAGTTTACCCTAATACCCTGCTGTAGGTAGTCTGCCGACACGGAACATGATTGATTATTAATTCCTTAATTGTGCCATGCAGTGAGACTGTCTGAGAGCATCTGTGTTGTTGTGTTTTTGCATTCATTTATTAAGGTTTAATATGTTTCTGTTTCCTAAAGCTATTAAGACTTTGAGATTATCACCTGTACCATGACCAGATTCCGTTTTTGAGGAACTATAGAGTAAGACAGTTTGAGTAGGCCTCAATCTATTAAGTAGGTCTTGAATAGATTTTTTCTTGAGTGAGTGATGTGGTTGGATTTTTACAGTATGGACAAAGAAAACGTTCATGACAAACTGGAAATCTGATATTTTTAGCAGAAAGATGCGCTAATATGAACTATTTGTGTTAACAGGCAAATAGTTCCCATTTGGGAGCTTCATTCTACATGAAAATACAACACACCACATCACCGACTTCTGATATAATCGCTGATGTCACACAGTTGTAATGCTTTATCCTGGAGAGGTAGAGCAAGAGGGTACGAGAGAGAGAAAGTGTGATCATTGTTCCATGAAGTCTATTTTCTAGGTGAGCAGATATCCATCTTCCACCCTTCCTCTGGGACTTTCCCAACCATCCTCGAGAGCTGTACAGTAATATCGGCTTGTCAGGTGAATGTGGGTGTTCTTTTTTTTTTTCACTGTATCTCACAAGAACAGGGAAATAGATGAAAGAGAATGTTTGAATGTCGGTGCTCTTTTCCCTCTGAATGAGACAGTTTTTAGCTTCTGGCCAGTTTTGAAATAATTTCTTCTCGTAGTAATACAGTAAATTGTGGGTGATGGCTCTGAGAGATGTTGGAAAAGCTCAGAAAGATTGGCAGAAATTGGCTATCATCTTCAAATCTTTGAACCTGCTTACTGCATTTCATGTTTGACGCCCTTGTCTTTACCTTTTGTCTTTGTTCTGATAGTTAATTCTGATCTTAAGTGAAAATTTTCTCCTAATTTCTCTTTCTTCTTCTCCTCTGTTCACTGCTACCTTTCTTTTCCCCTCTCTCTCCTTCCTGGTGCGGTGGGGCTGGCTCTTGATGCAGACTGGCAATATGAGGGTGAGAACATTCCTCCTTTTTCTTTCTCTGTTAACTGTGTGTTCAGTCACTGTTCTAGTTTATTAACCCCTGCCAACCTTACAGAGATGGTTATAGTGGGCTACGTCTGTCAGTCTCTGTACTGTCAGTTCTTGCCTTTCTTACTCCACCTCACCCTATTTATACACCTTTCATTCCCGCGATATAATTCGGCTGGGCTACAGAATCATTTCCTCTCTCTGTAAAAAGAAAAATGAGGTCATAAGCAACAGTTTATGTCTGCCAAGCTTTCCTTTTCAATCTCTGTGGAGTTGCCCTTAGACCTTTTCTTACACATGGTACTGCAACCCTGTAAAAAGAAAAGAAAAAAGATCTGTCCTCTAAGTACTACATAGTGCTTAGAGGACCATTTAAAATGAAATTGAATAATGAAACTCAATATTCAGTAATGTATCAATGGTACCTTTTCATGTTTCTTTTTTCTCTGTTTTTCTATCCAGAATGCAAACTTTCCCGCTCGGGTCCTCCTGCTACCATAGTTGCCATCGATGAAGAAAGCCCCAACGGTAAAGTATTATTTTCTTTCTTGCTTAATGCTTCATAGGAGATTTCAAAAATGGTCTAAACTCAAGATGTGATGGGCGACCACTTCAGTATGATTACCACCTTTTAGCGTATGTTAGACAAACACTGTTTGAAAATCTTGACCTTTAAAAGACGCTGATTGGAATAGCATGTGGTGTGCCCTCATTAAAATATTCTGTGCCAACTGGGTCATAGTTGAAGCCTCATCTTATTTGAACTAATGAACGGTTCAAAATGCTATTGTGTTTTTCTATATGTGCTGTTTCGATCTGGTCACAGTAAGTTCTTGGCGTTTTTACTAGTTGCCTGGCAACTTGGAAGTGATAACAAGATCTTGGTTTTGAGGTGAAATGTGTTAATTATTAAGGTTTGAAGTTCCTTGCTGGTCGATTTCATTACCTTTGTTTGACTGTCTCCAGACAAAGCTTCACATTAAACCAACAGCTAAGGAAGAGGTGCGTTTCACTTGATTCAAG